CCACCTACTTCTGCTCATAAATATTGCCAATGCAGCATTTACAGGCCTGATTCTTTTTAAAACTTTCTCATAGCATACTACTTCAGTCTTCTTACCTGTTTCTGTGAACAGCTCTTCAAGACTTTCAAGTCTTATACAAGACAGTACAAGTAAAATCTAGGTGGTAGGACACAAACCCCTCACTCTAGCACTGTGATATGTTCTCACTGATCCCACATCCTCCCTGAATTATGCATCCTCTTCTTTTTATTTTGATTGTGCCTAGATGAAAATGCCATTAGGAAACAAGACAAAAGAAGGGCAAAGGTTAGAAGACTTTTTTTTCTTTTAATATATTTTTCAGTGTTTGTTGAAGTGCAACAATGCTCACAGGATTATTGACAGAAGAAACATTTAAGATGTTTACTGTTGAGAAGGAAAGGCAGCTCTTCATAAGGCTGTTTGCTTTTTTTGTTGTTGTTGTCAGAAAACATAAGAGAATTTAAGATATAAACTTCCCTGCCATATTGATTAGTTTTGACCATAAAGACAAGAGCAAAAAACCACATCATTGATTTTATTAAGTAATTTTAGAAATCTCTTAGTGCTACATAAGAGAACTATCTACAGTAGAGACTTGGAACTCATCTCTGTCTGCTGGGAAAAAAAGCAACACCACATCCTTGGAATTCCATTCAATGCTTAAAAGCGTAAAGAAATAGTGGGGGTGAATATCATCTCTTACTGTTCATCTCAGCCAATATCGTGCATTATAGTTTGAGATTATATCCGCAGGTAGAATTATTTGTCCCTACCTCAATAAGCAAAAGTAAGTATGAACATAGCCACACAACAGCAAAGCCTGCTTCCAAGTAGCTCTCTGTAACTTTGCTGGCCCATTGTTACCTTCTGGAAGAAGGGATCATTTCTGATCACAGCAATTAGGAGCAATGCTCAGGGTAACATTAATTCCCCAGTGTTTTGGATTCCTGCCGCAGACCTTTGTTATGCAGAAGCACTAAGAGCAGCTCTAATAGTGTCAGTCACCTTTCTCAGAAAACTTGCAGAAACAACTGAGAGCTCTGCTCCTCCAGCAAATCTTTAGCCAGAATTACTCAGTGAAATTTCACAAAGACTTTTTTTTTTTTTTTTTTTTTTTGAGCAAGAACAAAAAACAACCCTAAAACAGTAGTTCAGATCAAACTATCAGTGGTTTACCCCACTATCTTTTTTCTCTAAGGCTCACAATGCTATTCTGCAGGGATGCAGAAAACATCCTTAAACCATTCTAAATGCAGGTGTCCTACATCTCAGAAAAATCACCTGACACTCAGTCTAAAGGGCTGGGCACAATTTATTAGAAGAAATTGGGGTAGTGAGAGGAAGACTGAGAGAAACCACAACTGCTCCTTCCTCAGGAAAAGGTTTGACCAAAACTCATACGTTACTGGATCCCATTGAATCCAAAGGTCATGTAAGCTAAAAGAGGTCAAATTTCAAAATTTCCATAGTTCAGCTACCCAGAAAAGTACTTGATTTGTGATCAAATGCCAGTATGTTGTTTCAAGGGACATCATAAAAATTCTGGCTTCAACCACAGCCTCTGTAACTTTTGAGTTACAGCCCATAATTCTGCACTTATTACTTTAGCCACTTAGCCAAAGAAGTCACTGGGACCTGTTTCCAAACAAACTATTGATAATTAGCTCTTGTGCCTTTTCATGTCTATATCTCTTCTGTTCTGAGAGCAGTGTTAGAAGAAAGTAGCAGAGCTGATACGATTTTCTTTCCATATTTGATATCTACTTATCAATCAAAAAAATAAGAACAGAAGATCAAAATATAGTTTTGTGTCTCATCCATCTATATGGATATGACCTCAGGAATTGGGTAGTAGCAAAGATCTCCAATGTCTCGCACTCAAGAGAGATTTTATCTGCTGTAACTACAACCTATCTTTCATATTTGATAAAAGAATTGTAGGAGAAGTGTGAAACAGATACTTTCCAAGCTTTGTCTCTTTTCTTTCTCTGAATAATTGGAAAATGTTGTATTAAGTGGTTATTGACTCAAAATACACAAAATATTTCCCTTATTCACTTATTTTTATGTCTTGTGACCAAAAGCTGTTTAGGACACTTATGGCTGCCTTAAATCTAGACAAGTTTTTGGAATCTCCCTATGTCAGCATCATTCTTCAGAAGACTTACTCTTGCTGACAAATGTTCCACAAGCATTTTCTCAATGGTAGGTTTTTTTTCTGAAATGCTATCCTTTACCAGGTATCCCTACAAACTGATTTTTATCAAGTACTTTTTTTTTTCCTGAAGGGCTAGTGTTTTACTCACTACTCTAGCATACAACCAACATAATTACCACAGGAAGAACTCTGCAAGCAACACCTATAACATGTTTTGAGAAGCCATAATGTGATGAAAAAAATTTCCTTTACAATCATAGCACATTTTCTGACTAGCCACATTTTTAGCATAATGTGTGAATAAGGGAATAGATTTATCCATCAGTATTAAGTAAATACATTAACAGAAAAAAAAAGAAAAGTGAAAACTTGTGACCTTATATTTATAACAGTGATTTTCTTTTGTGAAGAGATCTAATATCTTTTTCATCTTATTTTTGAAAAACCTACTGTATTATTAATTCCAGTATCAAAGCAGAAGTGAATACATCATTATATAATCTTAGCCATACTTTCCTTTTGTCAAAAATAGCTGAAGTTCAACCCAACACAAATATTTGGAAGGCATCACTTATATTTGCAAAAAATAATTTTACCAAGCCCAAAATATCTAACATAGATGTCATTCAGTTTTTCTATCAAATTTTATGTGCTGCAAGAAACAGATTGTACCAATTGCTTTATCAATCACAGTGGCAGTTGATAAATACATTACACAGGAATATTTCTCTTGTAAGGAAACATTTGAAGTTCAAAAACCAAAGAAATTGGAAGGGAACCCAAATAAATCATAGCACAGCAGTCTACCCTTTTAGAAGTTCAAAGATCTTACTTCCTACATATTACCAAAATCATCTTTTAGTTCAGTTGCCTTCTTTACACCTCTTCAGTAGCCTCCAGTTTATAAAATATCTGATGGTATCATCTCTGAGACTGTGTAATCCAAATACGCAATGGGTAACAGAAAAGGTCTGTTTACTGTCTGCACATACAAGCAGATGCTTATAAAATAAATAGATGTGCATATATTCCCATATGCATTTCTATTTAATTCATATTTTATGCATGATTATGCTCGACTCCACTCCACATTTTCCTTCATACTGTTTCCATCTTCATGTGCACTGGAATCAATCAGCTTTGGTCTCAGTGGTTCTATTAGTTTTTATTTTCTAGCATTTTCTAAAAGTGGCTCCTCGTGTCTTGTATAAATAAAAGCAGCATTTTACAGGAACAATAGATTTACAGCTTTAATAAGACTGCCCTCCTTCCTGCATTAAAGTCTACATGACAAACCAGGTTAAGCAAGCTGGTATCAAATCTGAAGCCAAACACTTTTTTGAGCCAGACATTAATTCTCTGCAGTGCTTCAGGCTTATTTTCAAGATGTTAAATTATTGATAAGGAAAATCAATTATTTTTTCAGCATGAGCAATGTCATACAGTTACATTATATACAACAATAGCTAAAGTAGTTTTTCTATTTTATTAACTTTAGAACACTTTAGAATTAAATTACCTACCTTTTCTTCTTTAGAATCCAGATAAACAGTCACTAGGGACAGCCTCGCAACTTCTGTTAACTTCAGAGGAGAATAAAATATTTGTCCAAAAACAAACTGTCAGAAACAAACAAAGAAAACATCTTAGAGACCACCAGATGGATACGTTTCTTTATTAAACTAGTATTATTTAAACAGCAACATTTAAATTTGACACACCATCAAATTAACTGCAATGAATTCTCTTCTAGCAATCACAAGAATCACAAGATAATCCTGGGAGGAAACAGGGAGATGGCAAGAACGATTCTTTTTTAGCAATAAACTTCCTGAAATAAAAACTCAGAATTGAGGATCTACATGCACAATTTTTCTTGGACTCATGGTTCCATAGACTATCAAGTGATTTCAGTTCCAATGATTCTGTAAGCCTCTATTATTTCCTAGCATTTTCACATGTTACTTCGGCCACTGCAAAAGATTAGGTGACAGAGCTTTCTGTACAATATCCCAACCATTATGGTACAAGATATATAAAAGGAGGAAGGAGGTGAAATATCACCAATCCCCAAAATACCTTAATTATCAGCTTTAGGACTTAATGGTGTCATATGGTAAATTAATGGAGAAATTTCATGATGATTCCTATGGTACAAAGGCTGCTCTGAAAGTAACATCTCCTATTTTATTACGTTGGCCCATGACACTGAAGGTGGATTTTACATGTTGTCGCCCTGTGACAGACGGCAGCAGAGGGACAGTGACAAAATGGCGTCTAACGTGGAACTGCTGATGGAGCAAATGCATAGGATTGAATTCCTCTATGCAGGAAAAATTGTACCCATTGACATTCATCAATGCTTGTTGAATGCTTAAGGTGACCAAGCAGTGGATAGGAGCACAGTAAGGCAGTATTATTGTGTACTTTCTATTTGTTGCGTTTGCCACGGAAATAAGGAGGAAGCATGGCTTTTGGGGGAACCTACATATGGCAACACATAGCGATTTACACAGACGGAAAAACGGATACCTCTTTGTAAATTCTGCCCAGAGAGGTGGTGGAGTCACCGACCCTGGAGGTGTTCAAGGAACGCCTGGATTTTGTGTTGAGGGACGTGATTTAGCGAGTACTGTCGGTGATAGGTGGATGGTTGGACTGGGTGATCTTGAAGATCTTTTCCAACCTTGGAGAGTGCGTGATTCTAAACGAAGCGCCCTTTCCCCTCCCCGTGCAGGGCAGCGGCTTCAGCGCCGCACCACGCACGCGCCACCGCGCGCATGCGCAGCACCGCTGGCCGCTCTCCGCGAGCCGGCGGAAGCGCGCTGCTGAGCGCGGCCATGGCGGGGGGGTGGCCGGGGCTGGGCGCCGCGCTGGGCGCGGGGCTGTCGGCCAGGCTGTGCCTGGTGCTGTACGGCCTGTACCAGGACGCGGTCATGCGGGTGCGGTACACCGACGTCGACTACCGGGTGTTCACGGACGCGGCGCGGCTGGTGACCCAGGGGCGGTCGCCCTACCGGCGGGCCACCTTCCGCTACACGCCGCTGCTGGCCTGGCTGCTGACGCCCAACGTTCTCCTCGGCGAGCTCTTCGGGAAGCTGCTCTTCGTGGCCGGGGACCTGGCGGCCGCCGGCGTGGCTTACCGGGCCCTGCGGCGCCGAGGGGCCTCCCCCGGGCGGGCCTGCGGGTGCTGCGCCGCCGCCTGGCTGCTCAACCCGCTGCCCGCGGCCGTGTCCAGCCGGGGCAACGCGGAGGCGCTGGTGGCCGTGTGTGTGCTGGCCGCCCTGCACCTGGTGGAAGCGGGGAGCGTAGGGAGGGCCGCGCTGTGCTACGGGCTGGCCGTGCACCTGAAGATCTACCCGCTGACCTACGCGCTGCCCATAGCGCTGCACCTGCAGGGCGGCGGGGAAGGGGCGGCGGGGAAGGGGCGGCACGGAACGGCCGAGTTTACGCTGGTAGGGGGCGTCTGGAGGCTGGTTGTGCGGGCGCTGAACCGCAACGCGCTGCTTTTCGGAGCGATCGCTGGATCTGCCCTGGCCGCCTTGACCGTCCTGTTTTACCGCCTGTACGGCTGGGAGTTTTTAGAGCAGGCCTACCTCTACCACCTGACCAGGAGGGATATCCGACACAACTTCTCTCCCTATTTCTACATGTTGTATTTAACTGCGGAGAGCAAATGGAGTTTTGCCCTTGGGCTCGCAGCTTTCCTGCCGCAGCTGCTTCTGCTCCTGGTTGTGTCCGTAGCGTTTTACAAAGACCTTGTTTTTTGTTGTTTCCTACACACCGCTATTTTTGTGAGTTTTAACAAAGTGTGCACGTCCCAGTACTTTATCTGGTACCTCTGCCTTTTGCCTATCATAATACCTAATATTAAAATGTCCTGGCGTCGTGGTGTGCTGCTGCTCTTTCTGTGGCTTGTTGGGCAAGGCCTGTGGCTTGCTCCTGCCTACTTTCTAGAGTTCAAAGGTTATAACACTTTTTTATTTATATGGCTGGCTGGCTTGCTTTTCCTTTTTATCAATAGCTTCATACTTGTACAGATTATTTCACATTATCAACGGGAAACACAAGTTGCCAAAAAAGTCAAAGAGCAGTAATAAGTAGATCAAAATTCAGAAACAGTGATGTTGTCTTTAGCAAGGCTTTTCATACCAGCAGCACTTTGATTAACATAAATGTGTACATTATAGAATGGATGGTGTATGTAAGCAATGCTTCATTAGGGCTCCGAGGGCATTCATCGGTCTTAACTGCAACAAGCAGCCACTGGCCTACCCTGATCTCTGTCTGCAAGGGAACCCACCTGCCATGTGGACTAAAACTGCATTGTAGCCTTGACCTGGCGGACTGCTGATGATGATGACTGAATTCACTGGAAGGACCTTAGACCTGGTTCATCACTTGTCACATCTGGGGCTGCACAGGTGGACTCCGTTACCACACTCATCTCTGCCTGCTGTTGTCAGATGTGGTGGGGCTGTGCCCTGGCCACTGAGAGAATGCCCTGTGCTGGGGGCTTCTTTCTGGCTCATGCCTTCCTACAGAGCAGCCCCAGTCATGCTCCCCAACACCCTTTTTCTCCTTGTTACTGTACTCTGTCCTTGTTAAGGACTGCGGCTTCTGTCTAGGAAAACACAGAAGATCATAGTCATTATAATATAATGGAATATTGTGAGTTTGATGGTCTTATACATTCCAGTAACTGGGTGAGGGATTTTGCAAGGATTATGCTAACAAATAAATACAATATATATATATATGGTGTGTTGTTTTTCTTCTCACACTAACAATTTAGCAGCACATTGCTCAGGGCCTGTACCCAGTCTTTCTTCAGTGAAGAAGGGAAGCTCTTGAAACTTTACTTTAAAATTCAGGTTTTCTTACTTTGACACATTTTTCCCCCCCTTCTCAGTGCTTTTGGGATTTTTGAATAGGCAGACTTAATCCATTCTCTTGCTGGAGATAAAAACAAATACCTGTCTTGGATGACAGAAACATACAAAGCAAAAGTATCTGTCTTCCTTGCTGCCCCAATCTTAAAAAAAAAAAAGAAGCCACTGCTTTAATCTGTGTTTTATTATCAATCATTGTAGATACTGAAAGAAGCAAATACAAAGTACAGCTCAAATGACACCCGTGTCTCATAAGGACTAGAGTTTATACTACCAAAAAGAAATTGAAAATATAGTTTCTCAATAGTTCAATCTCTCTGCTATTAAAAATGAATGAAAAAGAAAGTGAAGGGATCTGAGGCAGTGTAGCACTTGCCAGAAGAAAAGGAAAGTTTTAAAACAGTTTCTGTGTCCTGTCAAATTAAGGTATTTATTACCATATGAGACAGGAGATGTGAGTGGTAATGGGAGGAAATCAGAATCATCTAGGAGTCAATAATCTCCTCAAGAATGTGCTACCAGAGGTCTGCTCTCTACAGCTTTTGGCAGAGGAAGTAACTAGCTGTGTGGTTTTTAATAAGATACTCAGTTTAAATAGATAAATGCTAAATTTAAGAAAATTGATATTTACCTCAAGTTTAAAGTTATGCCCTACCTAACATCTACAGGAAAGCGAAATTTGTAGAGTAATTAGAATTTCAAGACAAAGAAATTCCAACCAGTCAGTGTGATTCCAGTGGTACCAGTGGGAAAGAACGAGGCCAGAGTTCCTGTGTGATGCTGCCTCTTAGAATCCTGAGATCTCCCGAGGGAGCTGGAATTGTTTAGTCTGGAGAAGAGGAGGCTCAGGGGAGACCTCATTGAAAGGAGGTTGTGATGAGGTGGGGTTTGGCCTCTTCTCCCAGGCAACAAGCAGGACCTAAGGACATGGCCACAAGTTGTACCAGAGGAGATTTAGGTTAGATGTAAGGAAAAACTTTTTCTCTCAGAGAGTGGTCAGGCACTGGAATGTCCTGCCCAGGGAGGTGGTAGAGTCACCATCCCTGGCAGTGTTCAAGAGGCATCTGGATGAGGAGCTACGAGATATGGTTTAGTGGCTTGTGGTAGCAATGGTGGTGGGAGGACAGTTGGACTAGATGATCTTGTAGGTCCTTTCCAACCTTGTGATTCTATGATTCCCCCATGCTGCAGCAGTTCCACAGCTTGCTTACTGACAGCCTTTTCTGTCCCAGGCATAGTTCTCTCTCTTGGGGCTGCGCTGTGGGTTTTTGTTGTGTGAATTGGACCAATTACAGAAAGCAGAAGAAACCCTCAAGCCCCAGTAGCCTCAAGCCAAAGGGCATGCTACCAGATGTAGCATATCCTTGCACTGTTCCAGCCTTGTTCAGCCATTTTGACATTATCTTAGAAGTTAAGATTCCTACACTCACAATGGGACAGAGTTTGTTCTGCTCCTAAGCTGCAAAGGCATGCTGATTTTCCCTGCTGGCCCCATTCACACTCACCTCCAAGAATGCCTAAAATGTAGGATTAAAGATCTCTAGCACAGTCTTGTCTAGATCTTCCACAAAATTGGATGGGAGAAATGAACTGAAAGATAATGAACATCAAAGTTCATTGAGGGTTTGTATCATGCAAATCGCTTTTGATATCTAAGTGGAATTGAATAGCTTCAGTCACTGATAGAAAGCATTAAATCAAGTAACTGTAGCCAAGTGCAGAACAAGTTGTAATTCATGAACAAGTCATGGTCATTAATTAATTTGGTAAACTTTAAGGATATTTTAATTTCCTATGGAACATTACTGATTTTACTAGTGTTCACATTTTTTCACTTAGTGATCATGTGTCCATTTTCCTTCTAGTAATTCAGAACTGAAGTGTCTGAATGCTGATACTAGCTATCATTCCCTTCTCTGGGTTGCAAAATTTGTAGTGCTATCTATTTAAGTAAGAAATTGTAGAATTCCCCACAGATCTGTTTTATTTGCAGATTTTATAGACTGCACTGAGATCAGCCTTGAGACACTAAGGGGAAAGAAGAAAAAGAAGTATCAAGACAAATAATGTTTTTGCCTTGCCTTTTACATTGTAGCCTTTAGTCCAAAGGCTCATAGTGAATTCACAAGAGTCTGTAGTCAAATCTTCAACACTGAATTGATTTGCTGCAAAATTTATGCATGAAATTACTAAAACTAAACAAAAACATCACAATAAATGGTTCACTGACTTACAGACTGAGCATGCTAAATTAGCATCTCTGACCCAATAACCACATTCTTGGTCCTTACTATCAATTGTCCTGACAGTGTAACCAGCATTGTATTGATTTCTGTAGTTTTAAAAATCAGTAATTTTATGCTCTAAAATGAGCTCATCCATTTTTGTTTGGTTGGTTTTTTAAAGACACCTCGAAGCTTTTATATTTAACTGCAATGGAAAATTCCAACATTTTCCTAAGGATTTATAGAGAAAGTAAATGCTGAAGACAGTAAATCATGAGCAAGTTGGTTTTTTTTAAGCTGAGAATAATGAGACAACTATTCCAAAAGAGCAGTTGAAGTTCACAATGAACACATAGAACTGAAAATCTATGTTCACATCGTTCCAAAGGACAGCTTTAGAATGCACACCCCAGTGCTAGCAGCACTATGGGATAGGACAATGTCTTCAGTGAGATTAAACTCAAATCATTCTTGCTCAGGCAGCAAGGATAGTGAGTTGGAAGAGACACTTTCAAGAACCCGTTCATTCTGACTATATCTGACTGTACCCATTTCACCAGTATTCTTTTTTAACAACGTAAATCAGTGGTACTTCATTTTAGCAAAAGTCCTGTGACCATCCCTTCAGTCCCTACACACTCCTGCTAACCTCTCAGCAGTCCCAAGTCCCTGAACTTATCTGTGCCTTCCATCAGCTGTTAAACCACTCAGAAGTTATAGCTGTAGCTACACCATTTCCCACATAAATCAGAAGTGGGCATTGTTATTTTATATTGAGAGATGAAGCATGCAAAGATTAAGGAAGTTATATAAGATGATAATACAGGATTTTGTAGCACAGGCCATGACAGAAAACACCAAATCTTTGATTCCCACACAGACTTAATGACAGACCTCCTTTCTGGCACACGCTGAGCTGGACTTCCACAGAAACAAGAGGTTGCACATTGGAGGTAGTCCTACTTAGTACATAGATTATGCTTAAGCTCCAAGAATAAAATGCTGAAGTTAAAGTTTGAATCTTTAACATTCTTTTCAGATAAAACATTTATTTCAGAGCTTGCAGGGTGAAGAAATGAGAGATAAGAAAGCCTTGCTATTTCCTGGGGAAAAATAGTGGGGAAGCAAACTAGACCATCTGTGGAAGTAGTATCTAAAGGAAATGTCTGTATCTGATTATGTAGGAGGACAGAACTTCTGCCTTGGAAATCAGCTGACATGCAGGCAAATTGAGCAGTATGCTTGTAGCAGGGAACAGACAATATTTATGTGAAAGATATTCTATCAAAGTGTGCTTTCCTCTTTCACATGAGAAAAGTTAGATTTGGTAACAGTTATCAGGCTGGGTGAACATAAACTTTGATTCTTTCATGTTACCATAGGAAGACTCCATAGGATGTTACATCCTGCAGTAACCCTTACAAAGCTGTGCAGGTGTGATTTGGAATAGAGTTTTAGTAGGCAATGTTGGAGTGAAGCAAGAGACAGGATATTAGCATAGAGTAACTCTGAAAATGCTTCTTGAAGGTTAATGCAAGTAAGAACTGATTTCTGCTTCACAAGCTAGCAGCTGTGTTAATAGAGATGGTACTGTTTTGGTAGTAATTTTCCAAGGAGAGCTGCATCCTGCGGCCCATATGCTTCCATTCTGTGCTAAAGAACATTAATTCAAATCCCCTGTTGATCTGACAGTCAACATTTTTTCAGTCTCTCTCTTGTCCCTCCTACTGATCCAGTAGATTGAATTAGCTAGGAAGCAGGCTTAGAAAATGAAGTGGAAAACAATGTATGATTATCCTTCTCTTATTTCCCCTCACTGTATAGTGTGAATATGTTGAATAATTAAGAAGATTTACCTTCCGGAACACAGTGCCACTTCAGCTTGAGGTAAGAGTACTTTGTTAATATGAGGCATTTTACCTAAATGCAGCTGAGAGAAACTTGACTGAATGAGCCACATGGACTTCTGCCAACCAAGAGTGAAGCTACAGATAGCCTGTCCGTTTCAATATTAGCACTATTTTTTTCTGTATTTTGCTGAATTTAAAAAATACAGATGCAAAAAAGGTGAATATAAGTTTTCTGTGAGATGTGTTAAGTTTCCAAATGCATTCTAGCATTGTACTTATATGAAAGAGTGAACTAGCGCGGAAGTTAAATCAAGATATAAGTGTAGGTTAACAGCACTCATAGTAAAAAGCTAGACTATTTTGCTGAATACAGCAAAATACAAGAACACAACAACAAAAAAGTTAACAAAAAAAATAGCAGTATTTGTAAGTTATAGTTTCAAACTTCTTTTAAGAGATTTTAGAGATCATACAGTCATGAACACACTAAAGGTGAACAAATGCCACATCATACATGGCATTAATAATTCATTAATTATCTCTTTCCCACCGATAACATCATCTCATAGAAAGTAGCACTTCTTTTAATACTTTCTTTTTAAATAAATAGTCTGGAAATTCACATGAGTATCAAGTACTTCTCCACCTTAAAACTGTGAGATCTATGTGAAAATAGTTTTTAATTACCATTAGCACTTCCAAGTTTAGTGCTGGCAACAGCCAGCTTGTTAATTCAGGCAGCACAGGAACTGAAGCCGTGACCAATTTTCCTTCATGCTCTAATAAACTATTTG